ATGAGCTCCAACGCTACATGGTTCATACTGTTTTGTAAATTTTCGTACCATAAGCTGAATTCCTGGTGCATTAGGAATTCATTAGTCAGAGTCAGTGGGTATATAGAGTCGTTTCTCATCCGACCCACAACGAAATAAAACGTTTGGCTAAGGGGATGGGAGAAGGACCGCCAGAGTATATTGCAAAGCCAAAGAAATCCGTTAGTTTTGCTTCGAACCCCATAGTCACGTCAAGTTTTTGAGAATACCGGAAATGTTCTAGTCTCTTTCGTGAGACGTCAATTATGATACGTTAAAATATTTGGGTGTATATTCAATGTCATGAAATTTAAGATTTTTTTTTTTTAATGTTGGACTCCTTCCTACTTACGTCTGTCTCACCTGTACCTACTTACATCTCTTATATGTCCTTTTACGTTTCTTCGTAACTATGCTGTAGCATAAAATGTGAAAATACAATTTCCGTGAGACCGCGTGGAAAAACGAAACACCGTCGAGTCGGTGATGTTTTTTTTTTTTTTTTTGTTTTTCCCCCCCAAACCCCCCCCCGTCCGGTTTTAAAAAAAAAAAAAAAAAAAAAAAAAAAAAAACAAACACGTCTTGTTTCACGCGAGTGCGACGCGAAACTGCGGCTCAAGTAGGTAACAACTATACTTCAATACACATATATACGTACAGATAATTTAATATGTATTAAGTAACGTGTCACGTTTTTTCTACGTACGTACGTATCTATAATATAGTATAGTACCGTCACGCGAGCTTTCGTCATCCTCCTGTTGCACGATTTGCATGTACGCATATATATATATATATTTTACGTACGTACACATTGTAGGACAATGGACGCTTTTCAGAAATTGTACAAGCTTTTATTGAATGGACTTTGTGTGTAACTATCTTACAGTTTTTCATAGATAATTTTTTCCATATCACTTTATTAATATGTATCTTTGTACTGGAAGCAAACCTTTGAATGAAAATTGTTTACTTTGCTTCATATGAATTTTTCTCCGTTTATTGCCTTTATCTATTCATATCATCTGCAAAGTGTCTTTTTCAATAGGAAAATAAACTAATAATGATTGACAATAGAAAAAACATTTCTTTACGTAACAACGTTGTTTTTAGTGCTTAAAAACGCCTTTCTCTGTGATAAATAATTCACTATCACTTGATGATAATATAGTAGAAAAAATGAATCATGTTGTACGAAATAAGGGTAAATTTTGTTTAAAAAAATTTTTTATATCAAAATAGCAGTACTGCGTACGTGCGTACATTTTTAAATCTGCTTTTAACTATTTATGCACACTGGACGCACCCAAGCTTAAAAAACATTCGAGTTGGCTAAAAAAAAAATAAGCTTTAAAAATTCATCAAGTCTCCACGATTCGTGTTAATTTTTTTATTACCATCAATACTTAACACTTACCTTGTATTGTAAATTTCATGGAAAAAAAAATTTTCTAACCCTGAAGGTACTCATCTTCTGTTGCTCATTAAAAAAAAAGATTTTTTTTTATAAACACACAAAGATCTTGAAGTAAAAGCTACACACGAGACATCAAGAATCACCCAAAACTTCACTTATTCTCGGCAATTTCAGTACAACAATAATACAATGAAAATTTTAAACGAAAATTTTTCACATAATTTATACTTACATTATAAAGCTCAAACTCGCGACAGCTCGGCTGTGCAAGAACACACGCGTAGGACCGAAATTTCCACAAAATACAATGTAACGCGCTCGATACACTCATAGACACGTTATCGATTTAATTAAATTTTCATCGGACAAAGTTATTGTCCGCAGCGCCGAAACAGCACGGTCAGTCATTAATTGTGTTTTGTAACAACAGCATATACCTACACATACGCACACACACACATTTATACGTATACATATACGTATGGTAAAAGCTCGCCGGTATCCATTTGACTGGCGACTCGGCTGGGTTACGTAATGTTGTTGCTACCTGAGAATTGATTTTCACCGCACGAGAGGTACACGTCAACTGCATTAAATTGTTTATCAGATCTATAGACTGTGTGATTTTTTTTCTTCTTCTTCGTTTAATCTAAACGAGTGGCGATGTATATTTATATTTAATTTTATGTTTTGCGCCTAAGGTAACGATTATGATTATCACGATTTTCCTAATTTAATTTTAATCATCGATGATAACTCAATTAACCAAATTTAAAATAGATAAGTAAAACTTATGAGCTAATATATATTGTTTCATTTTAAATAATTCGTATACGTATATGATTACTAAACGGTGATGGATAAGATCGCTAAGTTTATCCCCTTGTTTTTACCATTTCAACAAAAAAAAAAAAAAAAAAAAAAAAAAAAAAAAAAAAAAAAAAAAAAAAAAAA